TAGCTGTTGCTGTTCACTTCTTTTTGGAGGCTACTTTTAAATCCAAAGTGCACTTACGTAGAGAAAAAAATAACCTAATTATTTTTTTGAATTCTCCTTCAATTTTTCACTTTTTTATTTTTTATTTTTTAAATTATAAATATTCCAGTGGAAAAAAACCAACCCAAAAGTACTGTTCCTCTGTAGAATTAGCATTTTGATGAGATTAGTTCAGTCTAAGCATAATTTAAATCAGAAAAAGACATATACAAAGATTTTACACTACACTGGCAGATAAATATACATTTCTTAAATTAATTCCATATGCTCCTTAAATATGTGCAATTGTTATTAATATACTTCTTCAGTGCTTTATGCAAAGTGCTTGATTCTCCTCACAATTAAGCCCTTTGCTGTAATCATTTCAAATTGCTGTAATCATTGTAACAGTGTAACAGACCGTGGTTTTTAAGGATCATATACCATGTCTTTTACTCATAAAAAAATCTTACTTCAGATTTTGAAAAACTGAATGTAGATCTTCCCAACAATAAATATCAAGATAATTTTATTTCTTCATTCTCTCCAGCAGCGATCCATGTCCCACCTCAACAGTACATGTTTAGATGAGTTCCCACAGAAGGGTTTCCTGAATTCTCTGGGAAGTCAAATGGTGCAGATAAGAGGGACTATAAGCAGCTCTCTGCTCCTTGTATGATTTTAAGATAGCATTTTTTCACCTGTAACCCAATAACAAACTAGTACCGACAGAAACGGCAATATCTCTGCTTTTCTTTACAACCACCAAGAGTGTCACTGAGATTCCCAAGTTCATCCTCCAAATACTGTGGCACATGGGATTGAAATTCAATTGAGGTTTCAAAAAAAAGAGGTGGAACAGTTATTGGTTCACCCCAGTGACTCCAGGGCCATATCTGGGAGCTCCTACAGAGGTGAAGGTGGGGCCAGGACATGGCACAGACTGTTCTCCTCAAGGGACTGGGGAGTCTGTGCTGAGCCAGAAGGGCTGCAGGACACGGCAGAGCCCTGATGGGAGCTTCTCTCCAGGAGACACTGCCTTTAGTCTAGGTGGGCATCTCCTGCTCTTCCCTCCCTTCCCAGCTCATCCTTATATGGCCATTCAACCAATCTGCCTTTGAAAAAAAAATCAGCCTAAAAGCTGGTTTAACTAAGTCAAGGCTACGTAGCAGAGACGCTACGATCTGTTTGCAGTTTGGGCTTAAATCAGTCCTATGTCATGCTTTCTGGCAGCCTTCAAACACATCTAATATTTCCTCAAAAGATTACTTAGAAATTTGCCATTTGTGGGAGCACCTTCAATGGCCTGCACTTCAAAATTGTTACTTCAAGAATTTGGGAAAATATCAAAGCATTGCTACAATGTGATGGGTTGGTTTTCTTAGTTTTATATCCTTACAAAATCTGTGATGGGATAGAGTAGAATTAGAACATGGTGAGGTAGATTTTCACTCAGTAGCTCTTAAATCTGTCTTTTTTGAATAAATAAGGGAAAGATAACATAAACAAAAGTGTGAGAAGCAGTACCATATTAATTTTATTTTTTTTTCTAATTCCTTTCCTGCTTTTCTCTACTCCTTTTCAGTCATCTTCTTCCTTTTTATTATTTTAATAGGGCCTAATTATGGGGGGGATTTTAGCACATATGAAGTAATTTTTAAAATCTGAATGTAGTTAAATGCATGTACATCTGAATAATCAGTGTATTCCAAGGCAACATAATATGCACTGTGTTTTGCTACAGTTGGTTTTAGAAAAATAATTTTCATAATTAAAATTGTTTTGGTTTAGTGGTACGGGTAATTATTGTGGGTAAGCATTTATTTCTAATTTTTTTTTCTTTTTCCTGTGGAAAATTTAATAGAAAAGGAGTATCGCATTTTGAGAGCTTCTTGGCATTTTAAGAAGTCATAAGCAAGATAAACTATAATTATTTTTTAAGACATAGGTACTCTTTGCTCTTTAGTGGCATGACATTTCTACTAATCTTGTAATAATCAAATTGAAACAATAAATATTCTAGCTGCCTCTTAGAAAAGTCTTCTTAGAAGTTTCTGTTCTTTCCACAGTGGAACCAGAATTTTATCTAATGGAATTGCACTGCTAAAACTAACAGAAGTCAAAGACTTTGACAAAATATTTTCAGCTTCATCAAGAAAACTGCAGTACAGAAGTACACTTAGAACATTGAAAATTACCTTCTGGTCTTTTATTTTCATATGCTGAAATTCTTGTCTTTCAAATAACAGTAAAACAGTTAATGGGTGGAAATGTTAAACAGTTACTGGTACAGAAGTGCTTCTCAACTTTTGATGTCATAGTGAACATGTTCTTTCTTATGTTACTTTGTTTTTTGGATCCCAGATGTTTAATATTTTATGATGCCAAATTATACCATTTCTAAAGAGCTAAAAATATAAGGCAGATTGCTGAAGCTAAGCCATTACTTGCTGTGTTCTTAATGTTTTATAGGTGTGTGGTACATGTGAACTACTTTAAACTACTCACCAGTTTATCACAGAATATCTTATGCCCTTTTTCTCTCAACCTCCAGCAGTTGGACATTCCCTGCAGGTACTGTGGCCCTTGGAGAGCTCTCACTGGAGCAGATTTGTTTGAACAGGAGGAAGAATAGGGAGGGACCTCAATCCCCAACCCCCTTCTGCTGCTGAAGGGGCAGGAAAAGGAGCTGAGCCCAGGAAAAGATGGGGAAGAACTATTGGGTTTTATTTTTGTTTCTGTTTCTCACTATCCAAATTTTAAATAGCAATACATTTAAATTCATCTTGGCCAACTTTGTTCTGTCCTAGATGGTATCCAGTAAGTGATCTTCCTGTCCTTTACCTTGACACATGAACTCCTTCATCCTATTTTCTCCTTTGTCCACCAGAGGAGAGGGGAAGTGGGGTGAGCATGTGGGTGAGTGTTTGGATGTTGGCCAAGGGGTATCCACCACACGTTTACATTTAGAATATACAGTATCTGTTTTATCCAGATTAAATTATTTAGTATAAATTTTATAATATTATTAAAGTATAAATTATTTTCTTACTTTGCATTTCTATTGCATATTCTAAAATTATTAAATCCAATCTCTTTTTATAGACTGTCTCTTCATTGCTACAAGTGATAGAGTATGTTTACCTTATCAAATGGAAAGGTGAATGTCCTGCTGCATTGTCCTTTGTGTTAATACACAATTCCTCTGGAAAAGTCTTAAAACAGAAAGTCTGTGAGCTTGTCCTCAGATTCTCCATGGGAACAGAGGTAAGATTCCTGATTATTTCAGTCCTCCTAAATCTGTTATTTCTTTGTGGAGCAGCACTAAACTACTAAAGAATTTACAAAAAATACCATGAATACCATGGTTGTATGACTGAGATGAATCTACAGTTTCAAAGATGGTAGTAAGAAGTGTTTAATTTTGCTGTTTGATTATGAGCTACACATTGCATCTGTTAAATAGTATTTTGGCACAAAAAATCTGAAAAAAAAGTCTGACTTACTATACTTTTGCATCTTCCTTTCAAATACATGCAGAGAACCCTTCAGAGACCAGAAAAGCCCTTTCACATTGTTAACTTGCCCTTTCCTCCAGGTGACATTCTTGGGTGTTACTGGTTCAGGGTGCGAGGGATACATGTGATTATCTTTTTCTCCCTGCAAACTGTGGATCATCTCCAAGACTTAGATAAATTTCTGTATTGTTTCATTGAAGGAAGCCAAAATTTGAAACTGGCACTTATGGAAATCACAAAAAACTATCCAAAGCTACAGTATGTTCACAGTTCCAGTATTTATACTTTACCTATCTGCAGTCTGGGAGGATAGAATCCTTCAGCTGAAGCCATTTGAAATGTATGGATCTAGATTAAGATAGTTTCCTCAAGCATTCTTTACAGAGGTAGTTGCTGGAAGAAGGCACTTTGTCTCAAAGTCTATCTGCATTAATGCTTCACAGAGCCTAGACAATCACTTTCAGCCATGCATCAAATTTTTGATTTATCATAATAGCCTCCAATCGTATGAACCCATAATTGATCATAATATTTCATTAACTGTAGATGATTCAATTATGTGATAACCTTTTGTAAAGCCTAGGGGAAGTTAAGCTGTCTTTATGTTTTACATATATTTCATTATTTAAACATAGATCTGAATAATTTCTGTTCTATCTGATTAAATGATTACTTCTAATAGTGTACTTATTTAGTTTAATTTACCATTTCTATCATGCTGTATTTCTGTTAGGAAGAAAAGCCTGAAAATCTAATAAAGAAATTTTAAATTTTTTTTGGCTTTGATAAAAAATTTTGCAATTTATTCTAAAATGAAATAACAGGATTCTTTTAACAATAGCAAAATGAAAGAAATCCTCAAGAATTGGAAGCCTGAAGGTGGCTTTTATCTTTCTGTGTCACAAAGGAAAACAATTACAAATTAGCTGCTCTTCTGACAAAATATCTTTGCTTCTTGTGCATCTTCTCAGGGCTGCCAACATGAGCTACTATAGTGGATTCTTCTCTCTTACAGAATGCACCAAGAGAAGTCTTTTTCTGGTTTTCATCATCTCTTTTACAGCAATATATTTGATTTCCTATTTTTATACTTTCCATCACATCGCTGCTCTACCTAAAAGTGATGATCTTCACAAGAGAAAGTGAGAAGAGTTTACTTAAAAAATAGACAAAAATTTCAAACAAATCTCAGGGAAAGAAAATGGAAAACTACCACCTGAAAATGAGAAATCTGGGAATAAAGCTACACCCAATCTGACACAGCCATTTACATTCATTATTAACAAAGAAGAGAAGTGTAAAGATAAAATACCTGCCTTGGTATTGCTGTTATCAACAACAACAATGAATTTCAGCGCAGAAATGCCATCTGAAAGAGCTGGGGGAACAAAGCTGCAGTTCCTGGCATTGATGTTTGGCCTGCCATCGAGACCAAGGGTGCACATGAGGATGTGCTGCTGAAAGTGAGCAGTATCATGACATTATCCAACAGGACTTCCTGGACACTTAAAACAACTTAAAACTCTGATGAGCATGAGGTGGGTGGCCTCTTACTGCAGTGGCAGAAGATTTGCTATGAAGGCAGTGACGTTTTTGTCAACATGATGCACCTGATTGAGAAGCTCCCCAGGCCTCTCCCACCTCCCACGCAGAATTATTTCACAGGCCATTTAATGAAAGGGCACAGACGCATTTGGAATAAAGCCAGTAAATGATACATATCAGAAGCAGAATTCCCAGGTAACAGATACCTTTCTGTTCAGGAAATGGCTACATCTTTTCTGGAGACCTGGCTGCAAAAATTGTCAATGCTTCTTTAATTATTAAATACATACATTTGGAAGATGTTTATATAGGGTTTTGTCTTAATGCGAAGGGAGTAGAAATAGTACCACCTCCTTATTCACTGTTTAACCTACACAAGGTCCCATTTTCTCCTTGTGTGTACAACAAAATAATTACATCTCATCACATTCAGACATGTGAGCACATGGGAAACATTGCAAAAGAAGAAACATGTTAGAAGAGAAAGGTCCATCCTGGAGCACCCTAGGAACTTTCTTTGACAATGGGCAAGGCAGCAGATATTTTCTTAGCAGGAACAGAACATCTATGTAATGATAACTTTCAAGGTCCATGGTATCAGGTATCTAGGTTTTGTATTAGTTGAATTCAAAGGATTTTTCCTCCATAAAGAAGCCTTTCTCTGTTGACTGAATGCTGATTGGTACCTTATTTAGTTTTGGATGAAGTATCAATTAATTTTTAAAGCATTTTAAAATATAACAAGAAACCATATTGTTGGAAACCAAAAAATAGAAACTTCTACAGATGCTGAAGGATTTGATCTGCAGCCTTGGAAAGAGCTTAAGTTAATGTAATGATGAAGGTACACAGACATTGGGTAGAGAAATTATAAACTTATATCCCTATAGTTACAAGTAAGAATATGTCTTATGTAGGTAAGAAATTTTATTAAGTAAAATAGTTTGAGGTTTAAGCTGTAATAGTTATAGAGTAGGTTAGAGATTCACAAACTATAACAGAGGTGTGCATGAGTACGTGATCTCTCAGCTTATTGGCTAAGAGAGAGATGCCATGCAGCAAAATTAAGCAAAGGTGATAGGTTAATAAGTGAAAACAAGTTTTGTGTCAACTGCCTATTGGGCTAAAATGTTGAACATTGCTGTGCAAAGAAGAAACTTGTGTCTTCCTTGAGCTATGGCTGACTTGTTGCTCCTCTAAACCTCATGCCTTTGAGACTAGTATCTTATCTGGCTACTTGAGCAATAAATCATCTCAAAGCAAGGTGGTCCCATCCCTCATTTTTCATCTCGACACCATATCAACTCTACTGAAGAAAAAGCAAGGATGATGCAATGAAACTTGTTCTTTCACTAACAACTAATAAGTTAAAACTAATGTGTTAATTTTATACTGCTCAGATGTAATTTCCTATGTACAATTAAATATACTTGTGTGACATTCCAGTGTGACTGAAGAAGAAAGCATATTTGCTATCCTTTGTTGGGGAATTAGTGCCAGAAATGTGAGCAGGAACTGTTTTTTCAGAAAATCTAACATTAGCATTTCCCGGATCTCAGTTAGTGCCCACAGTGGCTACTATTGTCTGTGGTCATATAAAGAAAGAACACCTCACACATGATACCACTTACTTGTTATCATGGAGATGTAATAAAAACAGGAAAAATTAAATGCTGATTGACTGTCCTGTTAGTGACATATTAAATTACATTTTAGGGCATTCAGCTGTGTACAAAATATCTTCACAGTTAAGTAAAAAATAAGATGATACTTACTAACCTCAGAAGATAAAAGTTTCAGTCCAAATCCCTATCAGATGCACATGGGAATCAAAATGTCAGTCACATGAACACCAAACACTTCAGCTGGATGTGAAGTGAGAAAGTGTGTATACATCATAGGCATCCCTGATGACATTTTAAAAACATATATTATGGTATTTAAAAAAGAAACCCCTGAATCCTGCAGTGCAATCTTTTTGTGCTCTGTGCAGCCCAGGACTGACAGATAGAGGGAACCTGTGGTATAGCCATTGAACACAATACATTTCTTGGTTATGGGAATTTGGTCTTAAACCTTTTGATTAAGGAACATTACTATTCATCTAATACCTACACAGGACACTTTTTCTATCTCAATTGGGTACCTGTTCACCTGGACTTTTGTGATAGATTGGAATTTAAGAAAACAAAGAGAAACACCTAAAGAAGTTAAAACAGCTTGAGGCTGATGGGAGTTTGTCTCCTAGTCAACAGCTGGCCATTTCTAAGAATTGACAGCAGTTTTGACCATTGAAAAGTGAGATCAACCTGTGAACACCACCTTAAGACCTAAGCATGGGCATTTCTTTGTCTCTTCGTTTCCTGGCTGTGAAAGCTAACTGAGCTTTATTTAGCTGGCTTCCCATCCCCTCCCCAGGCCATGTGGCCCAGGCAGGGGCTGGGCTGGGCCTGCCGCGGCTCCCAGCTGGGAGATGGGGCCTGCGGGGCTTCACCTGGGCTCTGGCCTGGCCAGGCCGGTCCCTGGCTCGGCTGCAGTTTTTGCTGTGACTGAATTCACCAGAGACTGCCAAGTAAAGAAAGAAAAAAGCTCTTGACCTGCGGCACGCTGAGACAGTGACCACACTCTCCAGAACAGCCATGAAGAATCTTCCATCACAGACAGCTCCAGCCACTGCTCTGGAAGAGATCACAGAACCATCTACAAAGCCTGGGCAAGATTTTAACCTTTTCATTACCCAGATGAGACTTGCAGATTAATCTTTTTTTTTTTTCCAGAGAGAAAAAAAGAGAGAGAGAGCAATTAACATGTAAGGAGACACCAGAAACTATCAAAAACAATGAAGAAAGGAATTAAGTTTTAACTGGGGAAGAGAAAATAAGGAGCTGCTTTAATAAGCTGAAAATTTTTCTGTTAAAGCTATGGAGATGGACAGTAGTGTTCTGAAAAAAATTCCTTTAATTCATGACAGAGTATATGGGGAGGAATGGAGTGTTTCAAAGTGTGGATTTTGAACAAATGGTGAAGTGGTTGTGATTCTGTAAAATGTTGGAAAGGGGGGGTGGGGAAGAAGTAATAGTTGAAGATTTGTGGCCTTTAAAAGGCAAAGAGAAAACTTCTGTTTCTAGACAGGCTCACAAAAACAGATGAAGAGAACTTTTGCCTTTGAATAACTCATCCTTAAAAATGACATCCCTAGACTCATTTGACCCATAACACACCTCAGAATGATGTGAAATGGGAGGAGAGAACTCATGACAGGATTTCCGGGCAGCTGGCATCAGAAAAATAGAAAGCTATAACAGAAATTTCTTGTGAAAAACTCCATAGATTAACAGAAGAAGACTTCTTTTTCTCTACAAAGGCTGATGAAAAGACTATAGCAAGAATTGAGACTGTTTTAATCACCAAAGTTTTTTGTCTCTATGTTGTCATATGAACAAGAGAATAGCTGGGTAGTGGGAGAGAAAAGGGTTGTTCTGGAAGTTTTATTCTGGTTTCTTATTCTTGTAGTTTTTGTTAATAAACTTCCTTTATTCCTTTTAAGTTTTAAGCCTGTTTTTCTCTTGTTCTAATCCATATCTCACAGCAAGATATAAGTAAGTTTTCTAGTGATTTTTTTCAGTTGCTGCTTTAAAACCACAACAACTTTCAAGACCTTTTTGCATTTACCTCAGGAAAGATACAGCTACCAAGGACAACACTCCCTCAGGACTTCCCTGGGTCCCAATATTTTCTAAAACTTTAAAAGTTTACAGGATAATGTGTTTAAAAAATGAGTATTTTTGGACATAACATGTTGATTACTTGACAGTAGCTATGACATGTTGTATAGCTGACACCTTATCTTACACTAACCAACATAGCGACCTTGTGATAAATGTAACCTTGGATAAAAATTCGTGAAAGAATAAATAAGTATATAACTAGATTTGTAACAATGTAAAAAGTATATAAAATATAGTGTGGCCGAAGAATTTCCCCAAACCCAGCAGTAACTACCTATTCAGGCGGTAACGACCCTAGGCGACGTTCATCAGCCTGAAAGAAAAAGCAGGACACGAACGGTTAAGCTAAACAAAGAAAAGAGCCAGGCCGAGATGGCTATCGACTCCACACCGCACCTGGGCACCCCTCCCTGCAAACCCCGACTGAAGATGCAAACAGGCCGGACAATAAGTGGAAGCCCAGCCGAGATATCTGTCGACTCCACACCGGACTTAGATACTTCACTCTGAGAGCCCAAACCGAAAATGAAATCAAAAAACACTCAGAACTTCTTTACATATGAAGAGACTCTGCCCGGACGTCTATTTGACTCTATTCTCCAATGCCAGGAAATCAATTCATCCAACAATCAAGGACCCTTGGTGAATGGTGCCTACCTGGAATTTAGCCTCAAGACACAAAATCCCTATAAAAACCCCAGACAGTCTACCCTCCTTCGTGGATTTGGGAACACCTATACCTTTGGGTATAGACCCCTGTCCACCCAGCGCTGCGCTGTTTATTTTATTGTGGTTTTTCCTCATTGTTTATTTTTTTATAAAAATTGTTTTATAATAAATTGTTCTTTTATTTAACCCAAATTTGCCTTTGCATTTATAACAACCTGAACTCTGAAATCTGTTCCCTTTGCATGGATGGAGAACACCATATCATGCATGGTTGTACAGTAACAACACTTGAAGGTGAGCAAAAGTAAACAAACTCAACCCTCACATATTCTCCTGTTACCTGGATAGAAATAAAGTTCTCCAAGTTATTCAGTAATTCCTAAAGATAAGGGCCCAGCAGAAAAGGACCTGGGGGTGCTGGCTGACAGCAGCTGACCAAGAGCCAGAGTGTGCCCAGGTGGCCAAGAACATCAAGGGCATCCTGGCTTTTACCAGGAATAGTGTGGCCAGCTGGACCAGGGAACAGATTGTCCCTCTGTACCCAGCACTGGTGAGGCTATATCTCAAATCCCATGTCCAGTTCTGAGCCCCCCCAGTCTAAGGAAGACTTTAAGATGCTGCAGTGAGTCCAGAGGACAATCAAGTTGGTGAAGGACCTGAAGCACAGGTCTGATGACGAGCCTGAAGGAAAGAAGGCTTTGGGGAGACCTTATCACGCTCTACAACTGCCTGAAAGGAGGTTATAGAAAGGTGGTTGGTTTCTTCTCCCAGGCAACTGGAGACAGGATGAGAGGAAATGGCCTCAAGCTGCACCAGGGGAGGTTCAGGTTGGCCATCGTGAAGAATTTCTTCATAGAAAGAGCTGTCAAGCATTTGAACAGGCTTCCTAGGGAAGTCGTGGAATCACCATTGCTGGAGGTGTTCCAAGAAATGACAGGATGTGGCATGTGGCACTCAGTGCTGTGGTTTTGTTGGCATGGAGGTGCTTCGTGAAAGGTTGCACAAAATGATCTTGGAGGCATTTTCCATCCCTAATGATTCCATGACTGTATAAAATAGGGTAACAGGCTTCACCACAGCCTGAAGCTGAGTGCATAAGCAGCACGATTGGTTGCATTAACAGAGACTTGCCGGCTGTACAAATAAAAGAGTATAAAGATACTAATTCCTCTCTTTTGTTTGGAGTCTGCGAAGTCTGCCACACCACTGTACATTTATGGATGCAGTGAGAGTTTATAGCTCCTAGCAGGAATACCAAAGCTAAAAATATTAAAAGCTATAAACTTGACAGCAAAATGAACCAATTCACCAGGAAGCCCATACTGGTAACAGGATAAAAGGAATAGCAAGTGATCTAGAGAAATTTTCCTGTGATCAGTAATTGGTAGTGTGGGTATTAATGATTAGTCAAATCATTAATGTTGTACCTGTGTGCTTTAAAAGTACCAGAGCCCTGTGCAGAACCCCATTCAGGATGTTCCCCAATTTGTCTGAGATACCTCATGCACATGAAATAGTATTTACTCTTTCATTTCCATACTTTGCTTCCCAGTCTCTCTTCTGGTTGGCATGGGCCAGTTCCAAATCATAACAGTTTAAAGTCTACATTTCGTAGAAAATTCTGCTCACAGGAATGTTAAATGCTTGTTTTTAATTTAATGAGGTAAATATTTGCCTTTTTAAGCTTCTCAGGAGTTTATACTTCTGTTGAATTACTGATATTCTTTCATTGCCAGTGGAGGCAATAATTAAGTATGTAACAACGTTATCATTAATATTTTTAATTCACTTCAGAAAATGAAAAGAAGCAAAGTCTGGGTCATCTCTCATAACTTAATATGAATTATTAACTCTTTTCCTGTATCCCTGCAGTGCATGTTCTGTATCAAGCACAAGGAACAGTGGTTAAAATTTTGAAGTGTTGCTCTTTAGGCATTTATTCATTGTATATCTGTTTCAAAGTAGGTAGGGTTCTTCTGATAGAATATGCTACTGTATTTTATGAATATTGCTTTGTTTTATAAATTCTACATTTATAAATCTATAATAATATTATATATAGATACAATAATGTATATATAGTTCTGCCCTGAAGAAGAATTTTTATAACCTTTATGTACAAATTGATGTACCTGCATAGAGCTTCATGTTATTAATTTATTTCCAGATTTTAGTGGCCTGGATATCAAGCAGAATTCAATGCTGCAAAATCACATGTTAGTGTTCCAAAATTACAGAATGGTTGCTCTCAGCCCTAATTCTCTAGAAACTAGGTATCTGCATGTTACCTCTGCTGCGTTTGATGTCATTTCAGTTTTCCTCCACAGCTGAAGCCTAAAATTTATTTTTTCTTTAGCTTGATTTGGTGCATCGGTAAATAAAGGTGCATAATATTCAGTAATATGTATTTGTATACTTGGAAGTTGTTACAGTGTATTTGTGGTATAAAGTTGTTTGTGAGATAGAAAACATCTGTGCTGGGAAATAACTGCTCTTTTAATTTCTAAGACAAAATGTCACAACTTCACTAATTCATTCCACTGCAGGTTTTAAAAGCTCAAGAACTTCATGCTTTTTACTTTGTGTATGAATTCACATACATACATGGAATTGGAGTGAAACAATTAAGGAAACATACTGCATGCCATTGAAAGAGTTCTTATGATGTTTTTATTGCAGATTAGGTAATACATTTTCATAGGTAGGTCTGGCTTTGCTGGACATTCCCTTGAGAATTAAGCAATTGTTATCAGCGAGCACTTCCCTTTCTGAGTCTGTGACTCTGGGTACCAAACTGCTTGGGCTGTGCTAAGGGAGTGCTGGGGAAAAAGGGGATCTTTGGGTTGTTGATAGAAGTGAGCCAAGAGGAAAAATACATACAGTTAAGAACAGACAGAAATAATCTTTTTTTCACAGCTCCACATTTTTCTACTGAATGAACTGCTGCCTGCTCAAACTTCTCTGTTCAACAGTCATTTGATCCTGCTCATTCTAGAACTTCATCATCCCTTCTCCAGCACTGAGTCTTGAGATTCCTGTTCCTCAGTGTGGTTGCCAGTCCAGTTAGGCTTGTGCTACATTTCTGATAATCATGATGAGAAAAGAAAGTGTGTGAACATAAGACTGCCTGTCGGATGGCCATTAACGAATCACCTCCCTGGCCACTGAGCGATTGTGCATACTGTCTCATTCAGAGTTAATACAGTGGTGCTTAGGCTGGTCTTGGAAGATCAAAATCCCACTAGAAGGCAGTCTGTCTGTGAAGATATTCCAGAGGAAGCAAACCTGTTCTGCTTTCAACATGAAAGGCAGTATTATTCTGAATAACTGAACTTCATGGTAAATTATTCATGAATTATTAGAATTTCTGCTTCATCAGAAGCTGTTGTTAGTTTTCACTACCTTGCTTGTCTTCCAGCAGATTCTGAAGGGAACTAAGTGTTTTGTTCACAAAGATTGCCTTGCTTTCATTTTGACTCCAAGTGCCTCCAGCTGTCTTTGTGTTTGCTTTAGCAAATCTTCTGGGTCTAATGAGCAATGCATTGAATTAAGAAATTAGAAATTCATTAAGCCTGGAGAAATACCAGGTCACATTAGATGCCACTATTTCAATCTGGCTAAGCAGGAGTTCTGCTGAGTTAAGTGGGAAAATGGACACACCTGACTGCTTGTTTCTGCTGCTTTATGGGCTGTTAAATGTGAGGACTCAAGTCCTCACTATGGGTCCTTTTATCAGCGGTGTGTGCTATACACACACAGGGAATTCCTGTGAATTGTGACTCATGCCAAAAGCAGAGTATCCAGCTTGCCTGCTGAAGGATAGCCATGGCTCTGGAGGCCTCTCTGCTGTCTTGAGACTCCATTAGAGAAGCCTTCAGTATGAAACAACAGATCCTCCTAATATTTTGGAATGAACATTTTTAGGAAACTTGTATTTTTTAAAAAAAATATTCAACTGGAATAGAGTCTTCTCCCTGAAGGTATTAAAAATAGAAAAGTTATTCACACTGCACATGCAAACTCTTCTGTGACTGGTCTTAAGACAAGATCCTGTACCATATACTGTTTCTTGAAAAAATGTAGACTTAAGCTGTACAGTTATTTCAATTGTTTCTTTGTTTCCCATAGTGCCCATTTGGAATACTTTACCTGCGAATAAACTCATAAATGATTAAAGGATGGAAAAGCACTGAGCAATAATGGACTGTTAGCAGAACCACTGAGTTATTAAACCTTGGAATTGTTAAGAGGAGGAAGGGAGGAAGGGAGGAAGGAAGGAAGGAAGGGGCGGAAGGGGCGGAAGGAAGGGGCGGAAGGGGCGGAAGGGGCGGAAGGGGCGGAAGGAAGGAAGGAAGGAAGGAAGGAAGGAAGGAAGGAAGGAAGGAAGGAAGGAAGGAAGGAAGGAACTAAAAGCAGACTTGCTGTCATCCCTAATATGAACGTGACTTGATTTCAATATCCTTACAATGCTGATAAACACGCTCACATCCAGAGTTGCTTACTAAGCATCTTGGTTGTGGTTTCTGTTTCAGAAATAGAATGTACTTCTAGCAACTAATATAGAAGAGAATATAAACAGTTTTGACTGACCTTTTTTTTGTACAAGTAGGATATCAAGGGAGTTCAGAGAATAATCAATTTTTCTATATTAGACTACCTGCAAAATTACTTGCACTAGTTCTATGTGGATACTTGTAACAGAAGGGGGTTTAAAACCTTGAGTATGTTCTTCCCCATTTGTGACATTGACCTTGGAAGATTATGGATAGACATGCTTAATTCTGTAGAAAGCTTGACCAATTGTAGTTGCTTCTTACATAAGTAGATGCTTTCTTGTGTACATCATGCTGAAGCAGAGGTTTTAGGCCCATAATGCTTTTTCACACTATGTGGAATTACATTCAATTTGTGGAATGGGTTATAAATTTCTTTAATTTTCAATGAGATACATAATTTCATGTGAAAATGTGGTATCACTTTTGGGTAATCTGGATGAGGCATCAAATGCTTGGACAACTGTAGTTCCGGCATATTCATGAGGGCTTGTTGTAGGAATCATTCCTTAGAGGGATGCTCTGACTTTTTTGTTACAATCTATTCAGGTTTCTATTCAGGTGAATCTCACCAAGGTTCAAAGGGTTGAGTTTCACCTTAGCTACCACTGTATGCAGCTTTGAACATTAACTTCCCAGTTTTTTGCCAGTGGCAGGGGGCTGCCCGTGTGAGATGAGAGGGACTTTCCTGCAGCTGGGCTCTTCTTTCATTGATGTGTCACAATCTCAGTCTCTGCAGTGTGACCAGGTGGTGTCATCCAACCTGATCTGTGTAAACCCAAGGAACAAAAACCCAGGTCCTGGAGGCTAAAATAGGACTGAAGCAAATCTGTATTAATAAAAATGGGTGACTGGCTGAGACTGAAAATTATTTCAAAGATTGAATTCTTGACACACAAAGCCTTGTTGTCAGCTTTATGTATTAACATACTCGCTACCACCAGTCAGGCAATGTCTCTCTGTGGGCATCAGATAATCTGATGTCGGTCAGAAGCTCAGTCACTGACATGCTGCCACCTGCATAAATATGCTTAGGAGCATCTAAGCAAAATATGGTGGAATCTGACATTTGTTCATATGGGTTAAACAGCAACAGGTCATCCTTCTGTTAGGCAGACGGAGTTCAACCACCATAGTGAACAGGCCACAAACCTGACAATCCCTGAAATCAGAGTTTCTAGGCACCACATTTCTGCATTTGGTCACTTACCCACTGTTATTTTGTTTCCAAAATCTGAATAAAATGTACCACTCAATTTGCAAAATGGTTAGTGGAAACGTGTATAAAATTGTCTCCAAATTTTGTGGTGAGTTACATATCAAAGTTGTGTCTCCTCCCTCGTGTCTTGTCCCACTGTATTGCAGAAGCTGCCCTTTCGGCTAGGTCCAGCATTTGGAACATAGGTCAACGGATCAGGTCGGATCAAGTATCTACAAAAATAAATAATAGTTGTTACTAAAACAATGTGGAGAAATCCAGAGTAAGTGCATACAGCTGTAACATTGAGAAGACCTGAGCAAGACTTAGACTTACTTTGAAGGTGTTTGGTTTAGTTCTTGTGGTAGCATTGGTTAGATTTTTTTCAATTTAAAATACAGAGTAAGAGGAGGATGCCAGCTTTATAACATTACAAATATATGTATTATATATTTATATGTGTATTTTAAGTATATACATATATAGTATAATTTGATGTCTCTTTAAATAGAAGTCTCCATATTTTATATTTTGCAGGTCTTGTGACTTTTTTTACGTGTGTGCTTTAACTTACACTATATCATTCAACTCTAATCTTGTATCTGGAGAAGGGTTGATCAGGATGTAAGAAAGGGTGTTCTGATGATCATTCATTTCATCTAGAGGACAGGGGGAAAAAAGTACCAGATAAATTACATTTACAAATGAATTGTGAGAAGCATTACTTCTGACATATTAATTTGATGAAAGTTCATAGAGCTGTAAAAAAGTGTCTGGTGTCAGAGTGATTTCAAGTAAGTTTAGCAATTTCTTTTTTCAACTGTAGTCATATTGAAACTACCTGACATTATATCTTTTGAGTTATCAGCTCTAAAAACATCCTGTTTTCTAATGTTTTTAAAATCTTCTGCATTTTTTCAGTCATAGCAATTTGAATTTAACCCAATTTCAGCGTGATCTACCAATCTGTCCAGCTTAGGTAAGTTTGTGGTGAGCAGGGGCTCCTGTGCTTGGATGACATCAAGTTCAAATGATGACCAAGGTTAAATGCAGGTGTATGGCATTCTCATCTATTTCTAGATTTGGTCAACATAAACCTTTTTTTCCCTTTTTCTATTTATCTAGGAAGCACTTCCCTTTTATCACCTGTGCCAAGGGCTTGAAATGTGAAGGCTGTATAAATGGAAATTGGTATGCCTCTTGCATTTTTAACTGCTCTCCTAATGATGGGTTGAAATAAAGGCTGACAATTTTTATTTTTAAGGTTTAAACTACACTTTCATAGCTGCCATTACAATATATTTTGTATAATTTTCTCTTTGCACACTCCTTGGCCTGCTGCAGTGAGACTGGTTTTAATCTTATCAGACTAAAGAGGAGGGGCAAAAGGAGAGAAAGTATTTCTATGTTAAATCCTATTTAGCTTTTATGGAAAATTTATAACCCAGAGTCAGATAAATGTAACAGGTAAAGCATTTAACTATCAAGATTTTGCTGCTTTGTAGATGGTATCTAATAGTCTTAAATTTGAGTAATGAAATGAATATTTATTTTTGGCTTTTAACTAGGATTTGAAAAGAAAAGCAGGACTACAATGAAGTTTTCTCCTTACTACTGTAAATATGAATTAAATTTACAAAACAGAATTGATGAAATGTTGTTGTGGCCTGTGAAACCTCTGGAATATATTCAGCTCTGAATCTTTCTGCAGAGTTGTATAGAAACATCTAAGAAAGAATGCATAGAAATTATCCAGATGGGGTGTGGAATAAAGAGCCTGTATTTACATATCTAGAAATTCCTGGTGTTTCTAGGAAATTAGAATCCATAGTCCTGGGGTTTCCACCCAAAATGCTACAGGGCCAAGGCCAGAGAAAGGCCACCTAGCCAGCTGTGGTGCATGTGTTAAAAAGTGTTACAGAGCTCTTGTCCACAGCTTAAAAAACCCCAAAAAAATCCTACAAACTAAAAAGCAAGTTGACATCAGCCTTGCTGGAGAATGATTTGATGGATAAAAATGGCATCTAAAGACCTAGCAAAACATGCTTTCTAAAAATGACTTTCATATGATAATTTGGCATTATTTTTGAAAATTGTGGGGAAAAGGCAATATCCTTCACAGATAAACAACACCCCGCCTTGACATATGAGTGAACTTCACAACAGCCCTGTCTTCATCTTTATTTCATGAGGTTTGTGGAAATATGGTGCAGCTGTTCAATGACTGGGGAATGTTTATAAATTCAGCATACCCATATCATCTACTAAATATATATATGTGTCTGACTTGCTGCCTTATGAGCCTTCCATCTCAGCATAGGAATGGGTGATAATGGAATGAATGCATTAAAAACACTCCAAGTTACTCCTGGCAAATGAAAAAAAACAACAACCTAAACCAACAAAACAAAAAGCATTATTATAAACTTAGTAATTTGGTTTTGGCTCCATAATTTCTTACAAATAAGTTCACCTTGTACCATGCTAATGTTGCTACTGAAGTACTGTAATAGTGGTACCGTATCCTGCTGGAGAAAGGCCCAGGTGCTTCATTCTGTTCTTCACAAGTTCAGCAAGCTCCTGCCTTTCTGACCTCCTGTAGAGGTTCATTCTCTGCTGGTTGATCTTCTCAGCAGCTTTAGCAGAGTGCCTAGGAGCCCGCCTGCTCAGGCGCCGTGCCCACTGCATGCTCTTCCTCCGCAACAGTGGGTGGTCAGACTGGTCACTGGATGTTGAGTTCCGGTGATTACCACGGCAGCTGAAGTGGTCTTTGGTATCTTTGGTGTCCTCCCATTCCTCCATGCTGATGGAGATTTGAGACTTAAAAGAAAAATGACAAGTGAGATGAAGGGCTATATTAAATGGAAGCAAATGACGATGTTCTCTCCACAACAGTGCAGTTGAATATGGGGTTTGGCTGCAATGGAGCTGAGGGAATTCATCTCTCTTTTACTTAGCAAGTATTCCTGAACTGGGCACCGTTTACTAGACTTTGATTTTTCATATAAAAAGCTCATTTATAATATAAATACTTTATCAAGTGCAAAAGCATGTAAGTATTATCTTGTGCCAAATTGCACTGTGATCCTTAGAAGAGCAAATTTAGCATTCTGATATTGTCCTTCCTGAATCAAGGAATCAGTCTTGAATGACTTCTCCACTTTCTTCCCAGTCTGCATAGTTTCAGAAATCTAAGTTTTCTAACTGCTTTTTACATGTATGTTTGTGGATTCATTAAGTAATGGTTCAACTTTGGCTGCACTCTTTTCAGTACTCTCTTAAGACCACATATAAAACATGCCTGTTCACTGTGTCTCAAATTCCCAGGTCTTCTTGACCTTCCAGCACACATGAAATTAGGATGCAGTAACCTTCATTGTGATTCAAGGCACCTCTTGTGCAAGCAGTAATTGATTCCTATCTTATAGAATAATGGTGCTATTCATATAGTGACACCCCCCACCCCACCCCCACCCCAATAATTAAGAGCCAAAATCTGCTGCTCTGTTGCTGTGTTTTCCTTATGCCACTCAATTAAGACCAATGGTACGGGCATGTACAAGTAGTGAAATAACAGAGGTGGATGAACTACAGGTACATTTCTAACATACAAAAATTACTAGAGAATATAAGAGGAAATATTTCAAAAGATAACTTTTGTTAAGATAAATTGTTTCAATGTGTATTTTAGATTTAATGAACAGTTTTAATTTCTAGTTTCAAAACCACTTCCTTAACAGTCCTGAGTTCCTCTTGTGCTATATGAATGTCTTTTATTGATGTGGAAACAGTAAAGTCCTTGCTGGTGTCAGTACAAGCACATTACCAAGTTAATGGTTATAGATTTCAATGTGGGGAGTATTTAAAATAAATACATAAAGTATAAAACAAAGATGATATAAATGAACAGGCTGAGTTCGGGTGAATCCCCTCGAAAAGACTATGCTGGTAATTATCAGAGAATAAAGCAAATTTAACAGAGGAGCCACTGAACGTCCTTTTCCCACTAACATGAAAACTGAAAGCAAGATTCTGCTGACCTCATCAGTGCTGAATACAACCTTTCTGTAGGAGGCTCAGCACAGAATCTGTGAGGTTTCTGGAGTCCATAAAATAGTATTTGATATGAGTAAGCTGGATACAGTGTGAAAGACACTTATATTTTTTACTTTTGCACAAATTAGATTTTATCTGTGTAAAATAAAAAAACAGCAAACAAACCCCATAATTAAAAAGAACGCTAAAGATGTTTATGTTGTAGCACTTCAAGTAAAATCACATTTTTAATATTCTAGACTAGGATCTTGCAATAAACCTCAAGTAAAGACCAGATAATTTATTGAGACTCTTTAGCTTCATCTGCAATAGAACACGGATTTTTTTCTTTTTAACAACCTGATTTTCTGAAATTTTGTTACTGACTCTGCTGATGTTAGGGCAGAAGAGAGAGCCTGGATCCCTTTGAACAGACATGCAATTTGATTTTGTTGTGTGTTAGACTGTCATTTTGGGTTTGTGTTCATTTTACAGCAAGGACTAAGGTAGGCAGAGTGTACATTCCATAGGAAAAGGTGCTACTTATGGATAGGAAGGAGCTATTTGGTATGAACAAATCTGATACAAACTGAGTGTAGAGGATGGTCTTGTTTTGCCTTTCTTCCTGCCTGCATTTGCAGCCTTCCTTGTCAAACTCTTGACAAAACAAATAACCAGACTTGCTGACAGCAGTAGTGTAAAGGCAGAGACCAATCATCATCACTACAGAAGGGTTAGTCGCTTTTTGAGCCAGAGATTAAAGCAGAGAGGCCAAGTGAAAGAGTAAGTTTTTTGTTTCTGTGAATCTGTAAATCCTTAGCTTGAAGTTTTGAAACACTGGGATAGGCGAGCTGAAAGCATAAAGGAAGGTGATAAAGCTAAATATTTACTTCAGCAATGATGAAATTTTTATCGTGCCTATTGAGAAAGCTGTGCAAAATGGCCATTTGCTGTACACAAGAGGAGAAAATTCAGCTTTAAAGACAAAGCAAAATCAAAGCCCAAACTCTCAAAAGCAGCACAAAAGTGTGTCTGCCAATGGCAGCTGTTAAACACACAGAAGATAAAAGTCCAGTGCAAAGTACTTCTGTGTTCCCATTTTAACCAGCCTTGAACTTAATCTAAAAATACTTTTGTAACTATCATTACTTTGAGGTTTGATTGCTTTTATTGAATTTTATTTCCTAGATACATTGCAAGTAAATCTGTTGCATGAGAAGCACGATTGATGTCACTCCTGTGCCACACAGTGAAGAAACATTTGCCTTTAAACCCTTGGTTTTGTTTGCTTTTTGTTTTTTAAAGGCAGGTTCCTGTCTCATGTATCCCACTCTGTGCCCTGAAAGGCATGATTGCTTACATGCCAGACAGCTGTGACCCACTCAGGCATGGTGTTCTAACAGAATGTCTCGTGCCCTAAAATCTAGACATTAGGCTGGTCAACACATGGCAAGAATGGGAATGTAGTCACTGACATAACAATGTGCACATCTGAGATGATGGTGATTGAGATATCTGTAGTGATAACAGCAACCATTGATTAGCTCAATTTTTCCTCCCTTGCCTTGCTGCTCCCTGGCAGCTTTGTGTAAAACATGAAATAGCTTGAAGGTATAGTTTCATCTGTTCCATTCTGAAACAGTGCCTTATTTTTACCTTACTGCAAGTTCTACACTGACTAAATTTTACTGCTCTGCCTACCAAGAATGCTACTTGCATCCAGGGTTCTAGAAGTGCTTTTCTGCTCCAAAAACTGTCTAAACCATTGCCAAGTACAGGCACATTTTCCTTTTGTGATAAACTTGGGTATTTTGCTCCACTAGCACTTAAGGTGTTTAAGCTTAAGGCTTTCACCAGATGAACTTTTCACTGTAAAGATGATTTGTTACCTTCAGAATTCAACAGGAGCAGGCCCAAAAGGAACCAGTATTCCACTGGGCTTCTTTGAAATTCCCAGTCTGTCAACTTTCAGATTTTTCAAGCTGTTTGTCCAGAACGATAATGCTTTAAGATCCATTTACACAAGAATGGTCCATTGCATAGTTTACTTTTCTGTGAGGATTTTACTCCCACAATTGAACCTAACAATTTTATAACATTTTCTGGCTAGTATTGAATTAATTTCTTCATAGCAGTCTGTACGGGACTATGTTTTGGATTTGTGATGATGTGTTAATAATGGGGATGTTTTCGTTACTGTTGAGTGCTTACACCAAGCCAAGGCATTTTCTGCTTCGCACCCACTCCAGCAGCAAGTGTGCTGGGGGAGAGCACAAGAAGCTGTGAGGGGACACAGCCAGGACACCTGATCCCAACTGACCAAAGGGATACCCCTTATTCATGGTGCTGTGCTCTGCTTTCCTAGAGATGGCCGAACACTCCCTGCCCATCAGAAGTGTGAGCAAACTGAGCTTTGCTTTCACACACAGCTTTTGCTTATCAAACTGCCTTTACCTGAGCCCAAGAGATTTCTCCCTTTCAGCCTCTCAGTTTTCTCTCCATCCCACCTTGGGGGGAGCAAGCCAGCAGCTGTGTGGGCCTTGCTTCAACTAGGACACCCATAAGCAGGCAGACAATAAGCAAATACTTGTGAAACCTTTTCTCTTGACTGACAAAGAAGGGGGAAAAGAAAACAAAGGACAATTTAAAAAGAAAATAAACAAATATGGACTACTAAATAGAAGCCACAGAAAAGCAGCCATACAGGTAATGAAAAAAGATTTTGTATCTCGTTTTTATATTTTTTTAAATGTAATGGAAATAGTTTGGATCATAGGTGCTATAGTCATTGAGAGGCAGGCTAGATTCACTAATTATTTAATTACTGGGTCACTGAAAACTTGTTTTATTTTTAAATAAATAATGAGTATATGTCAGTAAAGTGACGGCTTCTCATTTGCATAGTGAAAAAGGGAGTGCCAAAGGATAAACTGTACATATTAAATATTATTATTGGCATATTTTGTCCTTCTGACTCAAGTTACCCATGTTATCACCTGACAGCATCCAGGTATGTGCATTACAAATTTAGTTTATTATGGCTGTTTAAACTCAAATTGATAATCCTGTTGAAGGCTCTCTGAGTTATAAACCTTCAAATTTATGGTTAAAATTTCATAGCTCCTAAGAAAAAAGAGTGAATTACTTTTCTTTAATTCTCGTTTTAAAGATCTTACCCAACCACATTCTTCTGACTTAATGTATTGAAAAGCTAAAATGATATCCCATGCTAATATTTCATTAGTGAAGTAAGTAAAAATAATTTCATTTCAAAATTAACATTTGCAGAAAGATTAAGGCTTTCAGCATCTCATTTGTAGCTCTCTGTTGGAACCCTGGACACAGAATTTCATGCTTTCTGCGCTGACAGGAACAGACCCACAACAGAACACTGCGTTTGACCTGAGGCCGTGGAAAAAGCTTCCAAAATTGATAGAAAGAATGGAAACTTGTGAGTGTGTAGTTTGAATAGAAGTGTGTTATATGACCTGGCAGAAAATTTAGACTTTAAGGTTTTAGAATATAGTAATATCTATGCAAAAAGACGGAGGTTTTAGGGTGTTAACTTGCCTTGATCTTTCTCCTTCTTCATGGATTTTAGTAATACTGTGTGAATGGATAGAGAAATCCGCAATGCAGAACACAGGTGTTTGGTTATTGGGTTTCAAGTAAAAATAAATTAGTTGGCATTTTATATTGGGTAGTTGACACTTAAAAGGCCTTGGAAAGGGATACCTGGGGCCCCATTTTCTAGACTGTTAGCTTAGTGTGCAGACGACCTCCCT